GAAGCCCCTCCCCTCTCGGAGGTGTTTCGTTTCCACGGGGGTGCGGTCCGCGGCGTGATCTGCTCACACCCTGCACACACTTCTTACTGAAAACTGCTGAGAAGTTTGTGAAACCTCGTGATTTGTACACTTTCCTATATGTCACACTTCCTTAAAAAGTTAAAAAAAAAAAATGTTGAGCATCCAAGATCGGGAGCTTGAGCACAAATCTTGATTTTATTAAAGGGTCCCTCCAAGTAAACATAGGTCTCTCAAGGCCCCAATCTCAGTCCACATTTCCCACACACTTTGCCTAGGGCTGTCCTGTGAAGGACTGAGTAAAACTAAACAGTGGCCGGAGGATGGAAATAGCCATTCTAATTGTTAGGTAGGGCAAGGGTCTCAAGGTCTGGACAGTTCCAAATATTATTTCTTGCTAAATGTCAAAATATAGCAGTATTTTGCAGATGCAGGAGTAAACAAGACACGAAGACAGGAAACTCGCCCTGATAAATGTGGCCAGTTGCAGAGAAGAAATCAATATGTAATTGACCCAATAGTGTACATAAGCAATGACTGAGCTTCCTTCAAGGAGACAGAGCTTTGGCTATAAATCCTATCTCCTTTACTTGCTGCAAGTAAATAAAACTACTGTGGGACAACCACATTGTGCTCTTGAATAGAGCACCTCAAGTGGCAACCCCTTGAGTTTGGTAACATAATATTTCACATCCAAATATGTCCCCAAAATACAAAGGGTTACAAACGCAGTCACACATACTTCTATACTCATGTCCCCAAGATTTTTATAAGTATGTGATATAATAGGTGAGAATATTTTTTCAAGGAATAAGACCATATTAAATCTTCCATTTCTCATCTTGCACAAAAATACTCATTTGTTAGAAGTTTGTTGTAGAAATGTTTTCTACATGTAAAAGATGTAATAGCCCTGGTCAGGGTGGCTCAGTTGGTTGAGCATCGGCCTGTGCACCCAGAAGTCATTGGTTCCAGTCCCAGTCAGGGCACATGCCCTGGTTGCAGGCTTGATCCCCGGTAGAGGGTGTGCAGGAGGCACCCGATCGATATTTCTCCCTCTCCCTTTCTCTCTCTCTAAAATAAATAAAAACAAAAATTGTAAAAATATGTAATAATGGACTCTGAGTGCATAGGCGCTGGATCTAGACCCCACTTGTAGGTAACATCAAGGAGAAGTTTGCCTCCCCCCCTCCCAAGCTGAACTCTAAGCACCTAAACTGGTCTATCATTGAATATAAGCAGTAATTATAGTTAGCAACTGTTCCAGCTAGGGCTGAAAGTGCCTGATAATCAAGTTATTTTCCAGCTTGAAACAATTAGCTCACGGAAATTCAAATACTTTGCCCTTACCAGCTTAATCATTCACATTTAGCTCACAATCAGACCACACATGCTCTTTCCATGAACTTTCCTTCAAGATATAGTCTAATAATACTAGAAGAAATTTGTTTCAGGAAAATTTACTGAGTGACAGACAACCATCCATACAGGAAGAAGAAAGTTGAGGAACCTGGAACTAAATAACACAAATTCATGAAATGGTTCAGAGGGGGTCCTGGTTTTCCTAAGAGTCTGATTCCAGAGTCAGAAACAGGACATTGGAGTGTGAAAAGATGGCATATGGGACTCTTCCATTGGAATCCCAAAGGGATGGTAACTTAGGTTCAGGTCCAGTCAATTCAAGAATCAGAACAATGTTTGAAGATGAGTGAAACAAATTCACCTTAGAGGCACCCTAGAACCCTCCAGCTCCAGATAAGATTAATCTACTTCTTCAATGGTGGGGCCTGTGGCAGCCCTTCCAGGTATGTACCCTGTTCCACAGGAAGGCCCAGTGCATCCTCCCTGGTAGAGTTTTGTGATTACTGGGTTACACACTTGCTCCAGTTCCTTTCTCTTATGATCAAACTCATCTTTTTCAGCTAGTTGATTGGCCTCCAGCCATGAAAGGACCTCATTGCATTTATCCAGTATTTTCTTTTTATCAGACTCACTAATCTTACCCTTCAAGCCTTCATCACTCACAGCACTCTTCATGTTAAAAGCATAGGATTCTAAGGCATTTTTTGCAGCAATTTTCTCTCTCTGGACTTCATCTTCAGCTTTATATTTCTCGGCATCCAGAACCATGCGCTCGATCTCCTCCTTGCTCAGGCGGCCCTTGTCATTGGTGATGGTGATCTTGTTGGCTTTGCCAGTGCTCTTGTCCATGGCTGTTACATTAAGAATACCGTTGGCATCAATATCAAAAGTCACTTCGATCTGAGGAACTCCTCTGGGTGCAGGAGGGATTCCACTCAGGTCANAGCAGGTTGTTGTCCCTCGTCATGGCCCTCTCGCCCTCGTACACCTGGATCAGCACCCCCGGCTGGTTGTCCGAATAGGTGGTGAAGATCTGCGTCTGCTTGGTGGGGATGGTGGAGTTGCGCTTGATCAGGGTANGTCCGAATAGGTGGTGAAGATCTGCGTCTGCTTGGTGGGGATGGTGGAGTTGCGCTTGATCAGAGCCGTCATCACGCCCCCGGCCGTCTCCAGCCCCAAGGACAGGGGAGCCACGTCCAGCAGCAGCAGGTCCTGCACGTTCTCAGACTTGTCCCCCATCAGGATGGCTGCCTGCACCGCCGCCCCGTAGGCCACTGCCTCGTCGGGGTTGATGCTCTTGTTGAGATCACGGCCATTAAAGTAGTCCTGTAGCAGTTTCTGCACCTTGGGGATGCGGGTGGAACCCCCCACCAAAACAATGTCATGGATTTTAGCCTTGTCCATCTTGGCGTCGCGCAGGGCCTTCTCCACGGGCTCCAGAGTGCCCCTAAAGAGGTCTGCACACAGCTCTTCAAACCGGGCTCTAGTAATGGACGTGTAGAAGTCAATGCCTTCATAAAGTGAATCAATTTCCAAGTTGGCCTGGGTGCTGGACGACAGGGTCCTCTTGGCCCTCTCGCAGGCGGTGCGCAGCCGCCTCACGGCTCGCTTGTTCTGGCTGATGTCCTTCTTGTGCTTGCGCTTGAACTCCTCCACGAAGTGGCTCACCAGCCTGTTGTCAAAGTCCTCCCCTCCCAGGTGGGTGTCCCCGGCTGTGGCCTTCACCTCAAAAATCCCATCATCTATGGTCAGGATGGACACATCAAATGTGCCTCCACCCAGATCAAAGATCAGGACATGTCGCTCTCCCTGACCTGCTTTATCTAAGCCATAGGCAATGGCAGCAGCTGTTGGTTCATTGATAATTCTTAGTACATTGAGACCTGCAATCACGCCTGCATCCTTGGTAGCCTGCCGTTGAGAATCATTGAAATATGCTGGCACAGTGATCACAGCATTGGTGACAGGGTGGCCCAAAAAAGCCTCAGCAGTCTCCTTCATCTTAGTCAGCACCATAGAGGAGATTTCCTCTGGATAGAAAGCTTTTTGCTCCCCTTTGTAGGATACCAATACCTTGGGCTTGCCTCCTTCATTGGTTACTTGAAAAGGCCAAAGTTTCATATCTGATTGCACTACAGGATCATTAAATTTTCTGCCAATCAGACGTTTGGCATCAAAGACAGTGTTCTGAGGATTCATGGCTACCTGGTTCTTGGCTGCATCCCCAATGAGCCTCTCAGTGTCGGTGAAAGCCACGTAGCTGGGGGTGGTGCGGTTGCCCTGGTCGTTGGCAATGATCTCCACCTTGCCGTGCTGGAACACCCCCACGCACGAGTAGGTGGTGCCCAGGTCGATGCCGATGGCCATTCCCTTAGCAGCAGCCATGGTTTTCTGAGGCCTAATGAGAAAAAGTGAGATAAAGTGTTGGCAGAGTACTTCTTTATTCTATTTTATTTTAAATTGTGGTAAAATACACATAACATGAAATTTACCATCTTAACCATTTTTTAAAACTATGTCTTTGCCTGGCCAGGCGTGGCTCAGCAGTTGAGCATGGACCTAGGATCCAGGAGATCATGGTTTGATTCCTGATCAGGGCACATGCCCGGGTTGCGGGCTTGATCGCCAGCTGGGGGTGTCCAATGATGACTTTCTCATCATTGATGTTTCTATCTCTCTATCACGCTCTCCCTTCCTCTCTCTGAAATCAATAAAGACATATTAAAAAAAAGAAAAAAAAGAAACATCAATGATGAGAGAGTCATTGATCGGCTGCCTCCTATAGGCCCCCCACTGGGGACAGAGCCAGAAACTCAGGCATGTGCCCTGACTGGGAATCGAACCTCAACCTCCTCGATCCTAGGTTGTTGCTCAACTGCTGAGCCACCTGGTTGGGCCCATCTTAGCCATTTTTAGGTGTACAGTTCGTAGTAAGTTCATTCACATTGTTGTCCAACCAATCTCCAGAACTCTTTATCTTGCAAAACTGAAATTCCATGTCCATTAAACAACTCATCATTCCCTACTTCCACTAGCTCCTGGAAACCATCACTTTCTGTCTCTATGAATTCAACTACTTTAGATCGCACATACTAGTGGAATTATACACTATTTCTTTTTTTGTGATTGGTTTATTTCATTTAACATAACAAAGTTCACCTATGTTATAGCATGTGTCTGATTTTCCTTCCTTTTTAAGCTGAATAATATTCCATTTTGTATCCACATTTTATTCATGTATTCCCTCCCTGGACTCTTGGGCTGCTTCTGCCTCATAGCTACTGTAAATAATGCTGTCATGAACTCCCTGTACAAGTATCTTTTTGGTGTACAAATATCTCTTCCAGACAATGCTTCCATGCTTTTTGGACAGGCAGACAAAAGCATTCTTGGCCTACATGACTTGGGTAGGCAGTGGGTGTAACTGTTTTCAATTTTTCACAGGTTCTGACTCAATCGTCCTGTCCTATGTCTCTGATACATTTTATTCTGGGATTGTACCGGTCTCCTGATGACCTAAGATTATTTTACCTTCTGGTCCCTGCATGACACATTAATTGCCACACTTGGGCTTAGCTGCCTTCCTGGCCTCCTTTACCCTCTACTAGGGATTTGTGGGAGTAAATCTAGTAGGTGGTGCGCTCCAGACAGTCTCTTTGTCTAACCTTTTACCAAAAAAATCCTGTTATCTAGAGACAGAACAGACCAGCTCCTCCACCTCCTTCCAGCTGCTGTGACCCATCCAATGTCGCGGTTGCCGACAGCCCACACCCCAGACTTACACTGGAGAGACCGGCAGGACTTCCTCAAACCAGGACCTGCCCGTCTCGCCTATGCCCACCCCATTACAAACAGCCCTCCTGGTTCACCTATTCTCCCGTTGCCTTCGCTCCAGTTTGGCTATGTCCGGACTGAGGGGCCTCTGTCGGTGGGGGCTCCCTCAACATCTGCCGCGCGCAGCCGGT